CCAATTGCAAACTGCTACGTGTCCGCTTTTTTCTTATAAAAACTAAGGAACAGACTGTTCGTCTTCCATTTGAGTTTTCCTTCTAAAAATTTTCTTTCCTTTTTCTTCCTTCTTTTTCGTTCTAGTTTCTTGAGCAGTGGTTTCTCTTTCTGCAGTCCTTCAAGGTAAACATTCTTCTCTTTGGGCTGATTTTCTGCTTTGTTTTGGTTGTTTGTTGAATCTTTGGAAGGTAGAATGGAGTTTTTGAACTTTTGAGTGGGCTTTGATTGGATTTCGAAGTGTTTTGGAATTAGGATTCTTAGAATAGGCATAGATTTGGATTTTTCGGTGGATTTCCAGCAAGAATCCAACATTTTTGGGTATTTTCTGGATTTTTGGACGGCACAAGGGGGACGTCGAGTTATACAATAGTTTAGCTCGGTCAGTCTGCCTGACCGAATCGGGCGACGTGTTTATGATTGTGATCTAAGTGGCCTTGGTCGGTCGTCCGTCCCCTCCGACCGGGTACGAAAGATATCGTATGATTGGTTTAGTTGATCAGGGGCTTGGTCGGTCTAACTGACCGAAGAGAGGGATAACATGAGGATTTAGTTAGACTGGTAGGTCGTCTAGTCCACCCGGCCGAGTTGTAAGGGAGTGTGCTGAGTGAACTGAAAAGGTGATCGGTCACCTAGTCCGAGCGAGTGGTACAGCCATGCCAGTGTTTTGAGTTGGTGAGTCGGTGGCCAAGGGCGACTAGTTTTGTAAGGTCGAGCTTAAAGGTAGGTCGGTCGTTTGGGGCGATCGAAGAAGTTCTCTGGTGAATCTGGGGTCAGGTCGGGTCAGTAGCGAGGGTCAACTAGGGCTTAGGACTTGAGAAGTTGTTGACTGGTAGGTCGACCGGTGCTGAAGGGCAAGCGACAACTAAGAGTAGTATCTTCATTCAGTCGATAACTCAGGATGAGTGGTCCCTTGACACTTAGTTTCTTTTTTGGGAGTTCTAAAGCTAGGACCGAGTCGGTCGGGCTGGGCGATCGGGTCATAATGTCATATTCTAAATCAGCTAGCTCGAGTGAAATTGTGGTAGACATTGGGGATGAGTATGAGCATGCCCCCACCATAGTGATGATGCCCGAAGGGAGCGTTCCGATTGGTGTACCGACTGGAGTTAGTGTAGCTGCCCCAAGGACGAGTACTCCCGGCCCTAGTGGTTCGGGTAGGCATGGGAAAAGTGGGGAAAACTCCGAAGGAGTTGGTAGTCCATCTTCTTCCAATAGCAGCTCTGAGGAAGAGTCAAGTCAACAAGGCAGCAGGATCTTGGCCAGGGATTATCTGCCCGCGCTTAAGGAAAGTGATGTGTGGCGCATCTGGACTTTGTACCATATTCCAAGTTCGGTTGATATTCGTATGCCACGGTCATACAAACGGGTTGACTTGGAGGCACCAGGTTGGGTTAGTTTCTATGAGAAGTGGTTTCACGATGGGTTGAGGTTGCCTATTCCTCGCCTTGTTTGGGAGGTGTTGAACCACTTCATGATTGCTCCGTCTCAGCTCATGCCGAACGGTTAGAGGTTACTTATGGCTCTTGAGGGCCTTTGTACCCAGAACCAAGTGATGTTCGGGCTGCATGAGTTGTTGTTCTCGTACTTTCTTAAGGAGAATGATAAGAGAAAGGTCACTATCTGATTAACTTGAGGCATGATTGGTCTCACCTTGTGACCACCCTGTAGTCTAGCGACAAGAACTGGAAGGATCGATGCTTTTTTGTAAGGGGTCAGGCTGTCTTTGGAGAGAGAGGACAAGGCGACATCCCAAGCAATTAGCGAGCTACTGGTGAGATCTTTGTTGCTTTCTTTGTACTTTGATTACTAAATCTTGATTGTGTTTTTTGCTTGCAGAGCTTGAGTACAATCGGGTCGGGCAGAGCAGAGACGGCTTGGATGTAGCGACCCAGAGGGTTCTAGCCATTTCAAAGGATTAGAGGGATTGGCAGGTAATGTTGGTAGAGTCTAACCTCAGGACCAGCCATCTTTGGGCCAGAGTAAAGGCGATTCAGCGAGGTATTCCCTTTCCTTCGTTGAAGCAGACCTGGGACGTGCTTCTAGCTCGGTATTGCAATCATATCATTTTTGGTGAGTCAAGGCTGAACCCACTAACCGTTGGAGAGTTTGCGCTTGCAGAGACTTTAATGAAGAAGTTGACCGTCCCCAGCACGAGCGAGTCCATTGCTCGGCATCGAGAGAAGAGGAGGAGGGAATCCTCGGCTAGGGAAGATAAGAGAGTGGAGGACGTGTTGGCGACATCGCCGAGTCAACAGCCACCTGTCAAAGTTGGGTCACCCCAGACCGTGGTCATGGATGAGGAGGCCGGGATGATTACATTCAATATTTCGGCTACTGCGTCGACCTATTTTGATGCACCTTCCATGACCAAGCTGGCCGATTCGTTCTTGTTCCCGATGGACGAGGTGCGTTTGAACCAGATGGGCGTAGTTGCTGTTGTAGACTGGGGAGTATCCCACGCTTTACAGGTTTGGCCGGAGTTTTGTTTTATTTAGCTCCTTACTTTCATACTGATGACGCTACCTTGTTGTGCAGGCACTCACGAGCAGTCTTCACCTGAGGAAGTCTGTGGTGGCGCAGGAGAAGAGGATACAAGATGTGTCCAAAGCGAACACTAGCTTGCGCCAGAAAGAGGCAACAGCCCGAAAGACCGAGCAAGAGACTCATCAGCGTCTGAGGGATAGTGAGCGTAAGTTGGAAAGGTTGAGGCGTGAGTTGGCCGAGAAGACCACAGAGATCGAGTCTCTTAGGGAGCAGTGTATTTCCATCGCTGATGACGTTATCATTTAGGCCCGGGGTGAACTCATGCTTGAGTTCAAGGAAGGGAAGACCTCTCACCGGGATCTGGATTAAGACATTAAGCTCATGCGGGAGTTGCTAGAAGAGGGAGACAGTCATCCGGGGGGGGCAGGATGAGGGGTAGATACCTGACCTTGCTAGTCAGCCGAGGCCGTTGGATGTTGGGGATGCAAGCGACCGGGCTGCTAGGATTGGTGTTGGCCGTGCGGACATGATGACCGAGTCAGAGATGGAGGAGGCGACTCGTACTGAGGATACTTAGCTTAGTTTTTCCTTTGTGTATTTTGGGGCCTGCTATGCCCTTTTTCTTGGCGTGTGTGCTATTTTTGCATTCTGAACTGAGCCGTTTGAGGCTATATGTATTATACTCAGTTGTTCTAACTTCTGATGCTTTCTTTATGGATGAGTGAGTTGTTTGTTGTTTCTTTACTTGTAGATGCACCATGTTGTGTTTGTTACTTTAGTGTGGCCCAATGGCTAAGGCATGTAGGCCTTATGTTGGGCTAGGTTGGTGCTTTGCTTATTGCAGGTGTAAGAATCATTCGCTCGGTCTGGCCGACCGAGTACGTAGTCTCTTGGATTGAATAAAGTCAATCCGGAGGTCAGAATTCTTAGGTCAGACAGGACCGACTCGAAGGTGTGAATCGTAGATCGGGTTGAGCCAATTTGATGGTGTAACTTCATGGATCGGGTAGGTCTGATTGAAGTCCATGAACCGAGCGGGATCGATTCGAAGGTGTTTTCATGAACCAAGCAGGGTCGATTCGAAGGTGTTTTCATGAACCAAGCAGGGTCGATTCGAAGGTGTTTTCGCGAACCGAGCAGGGTCGATTCAAAGGTGTTTTCATGAACCGAGCAGGGTTGGTTCGAAGGTGTTTTTGCAGACTAAGCAGGGTCGATTCGAATGTGTTTTCTTGAACCAAGCAGGGTCGATTTGAAGGTGTTTTCGTGAACCGAGAGGGGTCGATGCGAAGGTGTTATCGATAAATCGGGCAGGGTCGATCCGATGGTGTTATTGTGAATCAATCAGGGTTGATTCGAGGGTGCGATTTCGTGGATCGGGCAGGGCCGATCTGAAGGTGTTACAAACAATTGATCGACCGGAGTCGAGTTGAAGACGAAAAATTTCTGAATAATACTTCATTAATATTTGGCCATGAGGCTGATTGTCTGAGAGGAGGTGGATAGGCCCCACTCATCCCTTTAAAATAAACAAGGAAAACAGAAAAAAGATAAGTTCACCTAGAAGTAGTAGCGTTTGAGGTGAACGTCATTCTAACTGTTACTGATGTCTTTGCCCTTGGGGTCTAGAGTTTGCAAGCACCCTTCCCTACTTCTTTGGTTATCTTGTATGGGCCTTCCCAGGTGGGGCCGAGTTTGCCAGAGTTGATCTCCTTGGTGTTTTGGAAGACCTTGTGAAGGACCCAGTCGCCTAATTTGAAAGTCCAGATCCTCACGTTGCAGTTGTAGTGTCAAGCAGCCTGTTCCTGATAGATTGCATTGTGGATGCTCGTCTGTTCGTGTAGCTCGTTAACGGTGTCCAGATTCTGGCAAAGGTTCTAGTTGTTTGATTCCTCGTCCGCCCATTGGAGCCTGGTGGACAAGACTGATACTTCGGCTAGGATGGCCGCTTCAGAACCATATATGAGGGAGAAGAGGGTCTTGCTTGTTGACGACCATGCCGTGGTTTGGTATGACCAAAGGACTTCGGGTAGCTCATCTGCCAATGCACCCTTAGCTATCTGCAATCGCTTCTTTAATGTCTGAATGATGGTCTTGTTTGATGACTCAGCCTGGCCATTAGACTGGGGGTTGCAGGGGGTCGAGAAGCTCAGTTTTATTCCCCCAAATGTCATGGAAATCCCTAAAGCCTAAACTGATGAATTGGGATCCATTGTCGGTGACTATCTCCTTTGGTATCCAGAGCCTACAGATGACATTCTTCCAAATGAAAGCTTTTACCTCTCAGTCTCTGACTTGTACGAAGGTTTCGGCTTCAATCCATTTGGTAAAGTAGTATGTCACAGCTAACATGAAGACTTGTTGTCCGGATGCAGTCGGTAGTTTTCCCACGATATCCATTCCCCACTTCATAAAGGGCCAGAGTGTGAAGATAGAATGGAGTTGCTCTGGTGGGAGGTGTGGGACATGAGCAAACCTCTAGTAGCTGTCGCATTTCTTCACATAAGCAACCAAATTGGTTCGTATGGTCGGCCAGTAATATCCAGCAGTGATCACCCGGTGTGCAAGGCTGCGTCCCGCAGCATGGTTTCCACATTCGCCTTCATGGAGTTCGACGAGAACACTTTGGGCCTCTTCTGGGTTTATGCACTTGAGATAGGGGCCTGAGAATGATTTTCTAAGGAGTTGGCCCTCATGTATGGTGAATCTGGTGGCTCTTGCTTTCAGTCGTCGTGCCTCGTTCTTGTCAGCTGGGAGTTCGTCGTGTTCCAAGTATCTCACTATCGAAGTCATCCAGCAATCAGCTAGTTCAACACCCATGGCTTCCTCGAGCGGCTTATTTGGTTGTTGTTCCTTCCAATTGGCTGGCCACTGCATGAATAATAGAAGGATGGATGACTGGGAAGAACGTTTGAGGGCTGAGCCGAGGTTGGCAAGGGCATTAGCATAGGAGTTCTCTACTCTCAGGATTTGGACGATGGAGAACTCATCGAATTGGGCCTGCAGTTTTTTGACCATGCTCAAGTAGGATGTCATCTTTGAGTCGCGTGCTTGATACGTGCCTTGCAGTTGATTGACCACAAGCTAGGAATCAGACTTCACCTCTAGTCTCTTTGCTCCAATTTCTTTGGCTAAGGAAAGTCCAGCTATGAGGGCCTCATATTTGGCTTCATTGTTCGTACACTTGAATCCACACCGTATTGCCCTCTGGATTATGTCTCCTTTTGGCGCAATCAATACTAATCCAAATCCGCTTCCATTTGTATTACTCGAGCCGTCCACTAAGACAGTCCATTTGGAGGGTGATCCGCCGTTCATGCATAACAGCTCACTTTCTGCTTGGGTGGTGGTACTTGGGGTGAAATCAACAATGAAGTCGGCTAATGCCTGGGACTTGACGGTGATGTGAGGCTGGTATGATATGTCAAACTCACTGAGCTCTACTGTCCACTGTAGGAGTCAACCTGATAGTTTTGGTTTGTGTAGTATCTTCTTGAGTGGGAAGGAGGTGAGTACAACTATTGAGTGGCAACTAAAGTATGGCCTGAGCTTTTTGGATGTAGGGATGAGGGCGAGGGCTAATTTTTCTAGCTGACTATACTGTGTTTCCATGTCGAGGAGTGACTTGTTTACATAATAGAACGGCAACTGCTTCGTTTCTTCTTCCCGAACTAGTACTGCTGAGATGGCTGTCTCCGAGACCACTAGGTAAGAGTAGAGCTTCTCCCGGTCCACAGGTTTGGAAATGAGCGAAAGGGAAGTCAGGTACCTTTTCAGCTGCTGCAAGGCTTCTTTGCAGGAGGCGATCGACTTGAACATCTTGGACTTCTTGAGAGCATGGAAAAAGAGATGGCAGTTGTTGGCTGATCTAGAGATGAAGCGGCTCAAGGCAGCGACCCATCCTACCAGCCACTGGACATCTTTGATGCAAGTCAGAGAAGGTATACTGAGGATTGCTCTGATTTGGTCAGAGTTAGCTTCTATCCCTCGCCGAGTCACCATGTAGCCCAAGAATTTACCTGACGAGACCCCAAATGAGCACTTGGCTAGGTTTACTTCCTGAGGATGGAGAATGCCTGGCTAAGGTGGTCAAGGTGCTGTTCGACCATCTTTGACTTGACGAGCATGTCGTCGATGTAAACCTCCATGGTGTCCCCGAGACGCTCAGCAAACATCCTATTGACTAGCCGCTGGTAGGTAGCCCTGGCGTTCTTAAGACATAATGGCATCACCTTATAGCAATAGGTTCCCATTTCTGTGATGAAGGTTGTCTTCTCTTGGTCGTCTAAGTGCATCAAGATCTGGTTGTACCTTGAGAAAGCGTCCATGAAACTAAAGAGCTTGTGGCCTGCTGTTGCATCAACCATCATGTCGATATGTAGGAGCGGGAAGGAGTCCTTGGGGTAGGCTTTATTTAAGTCGGTGAAATCGATGCAGACTCTCCACTTCTCATTCTTTTTCTTTACAACCACGACATTCGCCAACCATTCAGGGTAGTGGACCTTTTTGATCATACCATTGTTTAATAGCTTCTCGACCTCTTTATTGACAATTCGGTTATGCTCTGGTGCGAATTTCCTTCTCTTCTGCTTCACTGGTGGGTGATCCGAATCTACCTTGAGCTAGTGTACCATTGCTTTTAGACTGACTCCAGTCATATCGGCGTGTGACCAGGCGAAACAGTCTTGGTTCTGTTTGAGGAATTCTATCAGCTTCTCTCTTATCTTGGGCTCGAGGCGGGAACCTATGTTTGTCTTCCTTTCAGGGTCATCCGGGTGTATCTATACTTCATCCAACTCTTCTATAGATGGTTTATTCAGCTCGATCGAAAGGGTTAGATGAGACTGTAATTGCTATGATGAGTTAACCTTGCCCTTAAAAGCATTCTTCTAGCAGTCTATGGAAGCTTTGGGGTCGCCCTTGATCTTTCGTACCCCCCATTTGGTTGGAAACCTGATCGTCTAGTGAAAGGTAGATGGGACTGCTCGCATGTCGTGGATCCAGGGTTGACCCAAGATGACGTTGTAGGGAAAGGGGCAGTTGATCACCAGAAAGACGGTTCGTTTCTTTACTCCGTCGGCATAGATAGGGAGGATGATCTCCCCAATAATGTACTTTTGCTCAAAGCTGAACCCAACCAGCAGTGTTGGCTGTCTGTTGATGTTCGCTTCTTCTAGTCTCATAGCCTTCACTACTTCAAGGAATAGGATGTTTGCTGAAAATCCTCCATCTACGAATACTCTCTTTACTAGGATGTTGGCGATTTGCAGGGAGACGACTAGAGCATCGTGATAAAGAGCGGCCAAGGTAACCAGCTCGTCATCTTCAAATTGAATTACCTGATGAGTGTGTGATCGTGAGACCGGATGGATGGACTGCACTTCATGGTGGTTGTTGGCTTTGGCATATCGCTTGGCTGACAAATAACTTACCCCACTGATCTCTGATCCTCCGGAGATGAGTGAACAAAGCCCTTTTGGTATGGGTTCCCGCAGAGGTGGTGATGGTTCTTTTGAGCTTCGCTGACTAATGGTGTTCTACCCCTTATCTGTTAGCAAATCTTGAAGGTGTCCCTTTTTCAGAAGTGCAACGACTCTAGCCGCAAGGCAATGCAGTCTACGGTGTTGTGTCCATGGTCACTGTGAAACTCACACCACTTTGTCGTGTGTCTCCTGGCCTTGGGATTAAGCCTACCCGGCCACTTAACGGTGGATCCCATCCCTTTCATAATCGCGACGACCTGGGTCGGTTTGACGTTGAGGTTGTACTCAGGTATTTTGTACTAGTTCCATCCGAACTGCCTGTTATCGATTCTCGCTGGCTGGTGATCACACGATTTTCTAATTCTGCTCGTATTACGTACTGGGTTAGTAGTGGTGTTCCACTGGTTTGTGCTCTGGCTTCCTATCATTCCGCCTAGGGTCATATCTGGAGTGAGTTGTTCGGTTTCTCTCATCCTCCTCCCATCTTATTTGGATCACTGTCTGGGCAAGGGTGTCTTCCATTGTGGTGCAACCCAGCTTTGTAAGTTCTTTGTATAGTTCTCCGTCCGGGAGGAGACCCTTCCTGAAGGCATCCACTGCTGTCTCAAGGTTACATGTAGGCATGGAGATCTTCTCTTTGTTGAACATGCTGACATACTCTCTCAGTGGCTCGTCCCTTCTCTGGTATACTCTGTATAGGTCGACCGACAGCTTCTCGAGTTTCTTGCTGCTGGCAAACTGTTCCATAAAGGTGTCAGTGAGTTGAGCGAATGAGTCGATGGATTCGTTCAGGAGATTCGTGTACCATTGGAGTGTCGAGCTAGATAAGCTTGAACCGAAACTTTTGCACGTGCAAGCTTCCCTCAACAGTCGGGGTATTGAGACGGTGAACATCCGCTGCTTGTACGAGGCTATGTGATCGTCGGGTTGGTTGTGCCATCGTACAGTTTCATGTTGGGGATAGTAAACTTCTGGGGCATGTCGGCTAGGGCGATCTCATCCACAAAGGGTGAATCCGCATAGCAGTAGGGCTACTCTTCTTGGTTGGGACCGACATTCCTGGGATGCGTCTCATTACTGCCTCCACATCGGCTAGCCTCTTGGCTAGTACTTGTTCCATAGGAGAAGGGGATGCCACTAGGTCATCCCGCTTGACTGGGTCGGCCTTTGCATTCATCTTCGGCACATTCCATTGGACCGTCCCGCGTTGTATGATTTGGTGATTCATTGCTTCGTGCATACCCTGGTAGCCTAGATCTTCGTTCATTCCTTCTAGTTGGATGACTCCTATGGTAACAGTTCTGGTGTTTCACCGTACATGAATGGTCAAGGGAGTTGTCTGGTAGTCACTCGATTTGTCAAGATGGATGGGCTCGAGTGCTATGGTTTGTTTGGTTTGGCCGTTCAACCCATGAGGGTGAGCCGAGCCGATTGGGGTTTGTGTGGGAAGGTTGACTGGAGGTAAGGTGGGACAGTAAGAATGGGTTGGTCTTGCGGGTTTAGGCTTTCTATCACTAGATTGTCTTGGTCTTGAGGTTGGGATGGGTCGGCTGAATGGTGTTCTATTGGCGTATCTTTATCTCCATGTGTCAGGATAGAATCATCGACCGCCGATGAGTTTAAGGGAGACGACCTTTTGCCGGAGACCGAGGGTCGGTGCTCTGGTGTGTGGAGGCGTTGCATAGATGGAACAGGGGCGCGTAACCAATTGGGGGGTGCCTAGCCAGGCAGAAACTCTAGATCATAAAATTGACTCACCTTCTCCTTAAGAAACTGGTTTTCTACCCTAATGGATGCATTTTTGGTTCGGATTGCATTGTTCTCGGTTTCCAGTATGGCTACCTTGTCCGAGTTCTGTTGCATGAGGGCGATCAGAGCCTCCAGTTTGGCCTCGAGGCCGGGGTTAGCGTTGTCGGAGTTGTCAGCCATGGAAAGTTCCTCTACGTAGCAAGGTTCGTTGAGCCAAATGATTACTAGAGGCCCCACGGTGGGCGCCAAACTATAGATGTAAAAATCTACCTGTATGAAAGGGGGGTCTGATCTCGTGAGGTTGAGGCTACTAGCGATCCGTTGCATCTGCACATGTAGAGAAACAAACGCATGAAGCGAACGGGAAACACCAGGGTGGTGTTTGCCATAGGCACTCCGACGCTCAACTCAGCAAGGCTGAAAGAGGCTAGTATAGTGAGGGCTAGGGAGTAGAGAGGTTATCAGAAGTCTAGTCAAAGACTGTGACTACGGCGGTGATGTGAAGCTCTCAAGTAGGAGCTTCGGGTGTGAAGGTGTAATGTAATCTCTCTTGTGAGAGGGCTGGCCTCTGCTTATATAGTGACTGTCTGGTCTCCCAATCCTGGTAGAAGTAGGAGTCCTAGTGTGATTCTGATACAACCCTAGAGGAGTTAGGGCGGTGGTGAGTTGTCTTACCAGTGTCCGAATAGGAAAGTGATCAGGAACAGGAAAGTGACTTCGAATAGGAGATTGAACAGGAACAAGAAAGTGATTAATGGGGGCTGTGGGCTCTGAACTCGCCTATAGGCCCAAGAAGTGAATTGGAACTGGGAATCCCGTGCCCAGATGGCTTGGGCAGGCCGTATCTCGCGTATCAACTGAATTAATCTGGCTTGGGCCTCTTTGGGATTAGGCCTGGTCTCTTCCTCACTGGTGGTCCTGTTTTCCTATTTGGACCAAGGACGATTTTTGACCCTAACAATCAGTATTTTAATTCAAGTGGATCATAAATAAAAGTCAGTAGACTTATGTTAGGATCCCACATCCACTATATGGGATTCGTAGGTGGTTTATTAACCCACTCCCAGTGGGTCCATAACAACTTAAACTAAAAAATCAATTTTCCTGTAATGTAGTTTAATTCGTAGCGATAAATTATTTTTTTTGCCTTCTGCAATATTTCTTAATTTATTCAACAGTTGCCAACACCCACCACCGAGTTTTTGACAAGTCGTTTGTTTTGCAAAGATTCCAAGAGTTTTGGTGAGGAAGAAAGGAGAGAAACCGCCATGGAAGAAGGGGATTAAAATAGCTGTGTCGTTCTTTAGAAATGATGGGCCACGTTTGTCGGATTAAGGTGAATGTTGTAAGCTTAAAAATGACGCCACTTGGTTGCTGCTTGAAGGTGACAACAGAATATTGGTGTCGACAGAACACTAGTGACAGGGACGGAAGGAGTGGGGGTCAAGGAGGGTCAGTTGACCTTTCTTAAGTTTAAAAATTTTTTTTGACAAGTTTCGCAAATTTGCCCCTAAATGAAATGTAAATTACAAAAAACTTCAATCCATCAAATAAGTTAAACTCTCATTTTTCTTTTTGTGCTGTCAAAACTAAACCCTTCTTTCTCTACTTTCCAGATCTTCTTTCTCTATTCCCCATTTTTTTTTTCTTTTTGATTCAAAAACCTAAGTTTTAATTTTTTTTCGAAATTTTTTGTTCTTTATGCACACAAATACAGTTTTTTTCCACCTAACAAGCCAACAAGCCTTTTTAGTTTTCTCCCACCTAACA